TTCCTGCAAATTAATCAAGGAACAATGTTAGCTATTGAGATGACAGCCCACTGGATGTTAAAAGGTGTGTACGCAACCACACCACCACATTTTCACCCCAGTGAACAGTGCAGCAACCCACGCCGAGAGATTGCCCCCAATTTTTTTATCTGATATTAAAAATACCTTCCCCCTCCCTTTTTCTCCCAATAATTATTTCTAAGATTGACATTTCTTAATACAGAACAGTATGTAGTTTGGTCTGGTTTTCCCCAGATTAAATGGATGGGGTATTTTTTAATACAGCCATACATTGGTGCTAGAAAGCAGCTGCAGCACAAGGGGGTGCAGCAGAACTACAGAGCTGGTGCTGAGGACATGCACAGCACACTCCTCTGGGGAGAGCTCTAGAAAATGAAGCTGAAGAGGAGCATCTGCTTCGAGACACTATCTTAAGGATGTGAGCAAGCTTCTGGAAGCATTCCTGTGCTCTGGTGGGAGTTTGGCAGTGCTGAAGTCCTTCTGCAGAGCATCTCCAGTAAGACAAGTAAACGGGCACAAATCAGATCTAACCAGCGTATTACAACACAGAACATAGTTCCTCTGGAATTTCTACAACTCCGTGTGTGTCTGCACTCTAGTTTCCATATTTTACATGCAGTTCTCTTTTGCAACCCACCTGTACATAAGGTGGTAGCGAGAGATGCCTTGTGCTTTCCCACCCATCTTGGACAGCCACTCAGAGTAGGTAGCACGAGGTCCTTTTTTGCTAGGGAAAAAACCAAAACCAAAACACCCGTTATTTCCCTGTGTTATCTTACCACTCTGTACTCAAATATCTGCAGGCTCTGTGCTACTATGACCCATGAGATTTTGATGCACAGGAGGAGTCAGGAAGCTACAGCCTACATTAATTTTAGCCTTGCCATGGAAATGAAGTTTATGAAGTCAGAGCATACCTGATCCATCCATTTCCTTCCCCCTCCCTCTGAATGCTCTTCAGTCATATTTGACAGAAGATCAGACATCTCAAAGGTGTTAATTCGTCACTAGGTACTGTGCAAATTAGATGCTGTCTTGAGAAGAAAGACCCAAAATAATTTCTTCAGGGAGGGAAAGATATTTTTAACCCAGTCTCATATCCACATGAGAGGCACTAAGTGGCCTGCCACAGTATGTGCTGCCCTTTGTCCATCCAGCCAGGCAGGGAATGCAGGAAGGCAGTCAGTGGGTATGAGAGGGGAGGAATGGGGGCTTGGACTTGGGGTATTAATCCATAAGAAGTCTTCATTAGTTGCACTGCTTATAGAGTAATTTGCTATTTTTCTCCCATCTCAACTAAATACACTAGACATTAAACTTCTATTCCAGAGAGACAGCAACTTGGCAGAGCAACTGTCTTCTCTCCTCCTTCCAAAGGATGTTCTGAGATACAGACCTCCACTCCATTTCAGAAGTACTTATGTATAGACTGTGGAGCCCACCACTTTGGGATAAAGAAAAGGATTTCAAAACTTCAGAAAGTTATTTCTCCCACCCCCAAACTATTAACCAGCAAGGATTTAATCAGAAGTTTTCTTTGGAAGTGCTGTCACTTCAACCATAGCTCACTATAGTGTCTTAACTGATTTAATTGAGGAATGTATAGAAAATATTTAAATATTTATTACAACAATAAAACAAAGCTACTTTGAGGGATAAATCAAACTGTTTTTAGAAGACACTGATCTTCTACATATAGTATATTGGAAATTTTCTGCCCTCACAAGGTGGTTGCACATGAGGAGTCCTCCACTTTCCCAGTTGATGAATTGAGACCAACATAATACTGCTGCTGTTCACAGAAGTGAACCAGACAGCAGTAACACAGGAACTGTGGCAGCTCCTGAGCCACTCACAAATCAAGTAACTGTAAAAATAAACTCTCTGGAGTCCAGTATCCATGCTGGAGGCTTCTCCAACCCGCCCCATAAACAAGAGAACTAGTGAAAATAAATGATGGCAACACCACTTTGACAAACCCAGACCGAGATTATGTACCAAGAACAACACTGGTTAATCAAACTGGTATAGTAATACCAGTTAGTAATTATGGTTGGTAATAATTTCTAAATTCCAGGATAGAAACAGAGTGAAATGCAAGAGTTACTTTTACAAACAGTCATTCTCCAATTACAATCAAGAGAATGAAAGCTGATTTGTTCAAACCCAGCATTTGTATACACTCAGAGTGTTCTTTTACAGTTGTGTTTGGTGCATCTGCTGCCAATTCCACCCCCCCA